GTGTTACTATTATCGTGTACTGTTTGGAGCCAAGAGGGCATTAACTCATGTACCTTAACACACAGTTAACACCCTCCTGGCTCTGAACAGACAATATTTGGCACAATATCAGGGGTGACACCCCGCCCCCCCCCCGTCCCCCCTCCCCGCCTGTTTTAGAAGGGGGAAGGGGAGGAAAGGGGGAATAGAGGTAACAATAAGGGGGATTAAAACCGATTTCGATCATGATTTAATAAGAATCCTTCAATGTATCCCTACCCCCTCCCCTTATCTGAATAATATCATATCGCTGGATGTTAAGCTCTCTCTCTCTCTCTTTCTCTTTTTGTCTGTACCGTCTTTCCCCCCCCCCCCCTCTCTCTCTCTCTCTCTCTCTCTTCTCTCTCTCTCTCTCCCTCCTTCTCTTCCCCTCTTCCACTCCATCTCTCTCTCTCTCTCTCTCTCTCCCTCTTTCCCTCTCTCTCTCGTCATTTCTCTCTCTCTCTCTCTTTTTCCTTCTCTCTATCTCCCTTATTCCTTTAACCCAGTGGATCTCTCGTTCTCTTATCTTTCTTACATGTACTAAGTATGTTTTACTCTCTCTCTCTCTTTTCTCACGAGACTTGTCCCCAAAACTTCTACCTTCAATTGCAAAATACATCCATATCATAATGTTATTATTTGAACAATTATTGTTTGCAGATTATGGCTGTTTAAAATGTGTGATATTGCACTAGTAGTAATTGATTTTCTTTTCTATTTACTTTTATTTGCTCTTATTTCCTAGTACTTGATGTTTTGAATCCTTTCATTCGTGAGAATTTCCACAGCTCAACTTTTAGCCCCGACGGATTTATCTTATTTGTTGTATGCACAATTAACCTATTATCCGATTCGCACACAATAATTAACACTTCCGGACACAGTGAAATTGTGCAAAGTATACTTTTATTGAAAGTGCGATAAACTTCATGTAATATGAAAGACAAAGGCAATTTGAATAATATTTTCATCATAATTCCTAAGAACCGTATCATTTTGTTTTCAACTGTTGACAGTGTATCCAGTTATGATTTCCCTGCAAGTTTGCCCTCATGAAAGAGAGTTGGGTAAAACCTGACCCATGCTAGGTAAAGAAAAGCATACAAACATGCATGTTTGTGGAGTTTTTTTAACACAATATTGCGTAATTTTCCCAGATTGTTCGTAAATATTATCAAATTTTTTTTACGCTCATGATGTCCTCCTTTTACTTAACAGGGGTAAAACATATTATAATCTTTTTTAGACTGTGTAATATTAACGGACCCATATAGTTTTTCAGGATACAACATTTATTATTTTAAAGATCGGTAATGTTATTAATTTTAGTTTAATTACATAGAAATATGTAAGGGGTCAACGTTGAGTACCGGTACTGCAAACGTCCCCCCTCTCTCTCTCTCTTCCTTTATTTTGCCTTCTTGTTCATGCGTCTTTTCTCTTTTTTCTTCTCATTATGTTAAACACCCTACCAGCTCTCGTCAAATCAACATTTAAAATGGCAGAGGAAATGCTAGATTCAACAGTTTCAGAATCCATCATTTAAAATATTAAATGTACTCTTGGGAAAATGTTGCCACTCCTCGGCCTTTGTAAAGGGTGATTTAGCGCTCAAGCTTTTTGAGTGCATTCATTATACTGATTTTATAAAATTGTAAATTCCTTCCCGGATTTCTTTTAATTTCGAAATTAATTGACAGTCTAATCTTCTTTTGCTTTCAATTTACTCAATATCAAGAAACTTTAAAGTGCTTGAAAGTTGGCTGAGAATAATTATCATTAATAATTGTATTGTATAATAATCTATAATCGAAATGATGAAACCTTCCTTAAAAGTTATATTCAACCAATTAAATCTACAAAATTCAATCTGAAAATCCGCAACGAGATGGCGGTAATTCTACTAGGTGCATTCTAAATCAGAACGAATGGTCTTATGCACATGTGCCTCAAAAGTATATATACAGGTAAATTCATCTCTCTGGTGCCGAATTCGAAAGTAAATAATATAATTATTACAATATTAACTATAGTCATTAGAAAATATAGCCTATTACATTTCTAAATTTTCACATTCATCGAAAGAAATCGTGTAAAATAACCGTCATTTCTAGGATACTTGATAGAACATTATAGACCTTTTTTTTTTTTTTTTTACTAATGAACTAGGAATGTGATTTTACATAAAACATGTATTTGAAACTTAAATGTTTCCGATCAAAATCAGCTTGTACGAAATTGTTTACACTTAATAAATATAATCCATGATATTCATGCGAAATATAAGGCGCTAAGTTGTGCTTTCTATATGACAAATCGTATGTATAAGAATTACTATAGATACATGAATACACCAGAAATTTGCAAAACTTATATGAAGGCGTGCGCATGGCAAGCCATCTGTATAAACAAATGTCCCGTGTAAACTTTAATGCTCACTCGTGACCACGATTCACAAATTTTTTTTTTTTTTTTCTTCTTCATTTTCGGACGGCATTGGTTTTTCCCGACATGTATTGCCATATCATATCTGATAAGTTTTGTTGTTGATATTAGCATTGAATGTAGATAATGTGCAATATATTTATAGCAATATTTCAAATGTAAATGACTTTGTCAGAATTTCTGTAATAGATGCATTTGACTGTTACAATGTAATATATTTACAAAAATAGAGAAAACGATGACGCATACTTCGTACCATATCGCAACAGACACTGAAATACCTCTAAAACATTGATCTAAACAAAATATTTATCACATGGCCTGCATATTATCCTTTCTCGTTACAAACTACAACTTTGAAGTCTAACATACATATAGTATAATATTGATAAACCAAATACGTAAATTAGTGAAATACCATTTCGGGGAGATAATTTATATATAGCAAAAAAGACGCAAAGTTTGAAATCTGAAAAAATATCAACGTGTGGTTTGATATCCTTACGACTACCTCTCGTGATTTTTTCAGTCATAAAAATGCCGATATCATTCAAATTCCCTTCATATTTACACGAAATTCTTATTTTTTTCCCTTGAAATAAATGTCAGCAAACTAAAAAGAAAAAAACTAAAACTAAATCACGAAAACATATTTAATGGAAGAGAAAGTGAGAATTGCGTCATTTAAATAGATTACCACATGCAATGTATACTTTCCGGAAAATACATCATGCGTAACAAAAATTTCATCTTTGATGAGCCTGAGAAAAATTTAGAGTGAAAGACTCATTTATGAAAAAACATTGAATAGTTTACACGGGCATTCGATTATAGACTTTAAAGCAAAGCAATGTAAATTGCATACGGTACTACTAACGAAAATGCTATAAAAATATTTTAAAAAGTAATTTCGTTGCTCAATACACCAATATTTGTAAGCTGAATAAACAGAATATCAGAAAACAAAAAAAAATATTATAAAACTCTCATAACCATGCTCTTTCATCGAATTTCTGATATTTTCCCGAATATTAATTTTGTTACACATTTGATCCAGTTCCCTTTCTCCCCGCGGTTCTATTTTGCTTAATTTTGTTCCATCTTCAATTTGGCCGATTCGTCCTATAACATTTGAATTTGAGGTTGTGCCCCTTCCACCCTGTACGAAAAATGCGGATCCACAAAGCACGTTTTACTATTTTTTGTCAGGGAGCCTCATGGGAATTTGATATACATCATATTTCTACTTATTAATCGACATAATCAGTAACATAAAATTCGGACAAGCACATAGGCCTAGAACATGTAAAAAGGCATGGTTTTTTTAGTAGCATCCAATTCATATTATAGTGGAATCCACACCCAAATCCTAATAAACTCCACTCCAAATTATGAGACCCCCCCCCAAAAAAAAAAATAAATAAATAATAAATAAATAAATAAAATTTAAAAAAATAAAAAATAAAAAATTGTGTGTTCTATCTTACTTCTGCTTCTTTGTTTTTAATTTACATGCTTTTATGTGATCGCCTTTGAGCAATTGATTTCAAGTGGATTCGCGCCTTCCAAATCTCACATACATATATTATTATTATTACAAGTAACAGAAACGTATGCTGCTGAAGCAGTGTCTTGGACCACGTAAAGGGAAATCTTGAAGATCATCCCTGATAACGTTTGTTTGTTTCTTGTTATTTCCGTGATATAAAAATGATATAAAAAAAAAAAGTAACAAAAATTACAAAAATTACAAAGGTGCCCTTTTGTTGGTGCCCCCCCCCCCCACACACACACACTTTGAAAGACGCTCCGTCTCCCTGAATAAAAACATAAACCTATATACATAAATCATAGAAAATAAACTCATTTCAAAAGTCATTTTAGATATACAGAAGACCACATGTTGGTTAGAAATACATGTTCATGTAGTTATTCCATGCTCAAAGTTGCTTGACACATACAACTTTAATTTCATGTTTGCTTCTTTATATTTCTCTCCCTTTCTCTCCCTCTCTCTATCCCTCTCGTTTTATTCTTATCATAATTCTTTTTAAAGGTACTATGTCCCTTTTGCAGCCAACATCAAATTCTGTAGGACTTTGCAGGAATTATGAATATACCATGCGTATCATATCTGTACGATTTAAACATTAGCAGTGCCCTAGTATTCAAATTATGCAAGAAAACACGTTTGCCTTCTGGACTTAACTGTCATACACTATTGAGTGACTTACTGACATTTGTTAGTAACATACATACAATGAGCTGTAACAGGTCCATGAGCTTTTTTCTACATCAATAACCCACTACTTGTAATGGCCAAAGTTAAACTGATTGAATCTTTGTGCAGCACAAAACGTAAAACCATTCGATAAAAGGGTCTGAAAATCATAGTATTACTTAGGTGATCGCAATCGCTCCATTCGATTCGACAACTAATGGTCGTCATTTTCCTACTTTAGCCCTTTCGTTTTGGGGGAAGTTCTAAATTAATGTTGTCTTTGAAATGCCATTGGAATTTAACCTTTCCCGTTTTTGGCCTTCAAATGGGACGTAGTACCTTTAAGGTTTATTATCATACGCAGGGGTAAATCTCAGGGATAAGAGTGTGGTGCACTTCACGATTTTACATTCTAGTAGCTTATGGCTTAAAGCAAATTGGTAGGGGTATGAATTATTAATTTTTTAACTGAATGTATGTATATATTTATAATTTGCAGGTTATTGGTAATTCAAATTTATACAGTAAAAAAAAGATGTCTGTTCTGACTTCTTTTTATAATTTCACAATGTTTTCTTTTACCCGACCTTTCGGTCGATATACTGGTTTTCTTTAGATATTTCTTTAGATCTTTAAACTTTTGGGAGCATGGTTTCTCGAATAATCGAAAGAATCGATAGCTAGCAGGTAAACGTTGCAGCCTCATGATGTATCTCAGTGGTTGACCTTTGTCCCAGCAAGCACATCCCCGTGCGTTTAATGTACGTGAAGAACTTGCATGATTCATCTTCAAAACAAAGGTGACCGCACCTAATGACGGACCTCACATCCGGGTGAGATGAGTGAGTGTCAGTAAGCGCCCGATCCCTGGCAACAAGTCTGTACACTGCGGATCGTTTGGAGACTGTAATAAAGAGGGGAATAAGCAAGTAAACTTTATGACTTTCTAAAATTGGATTCAGCGGCAATTATCTCGTCTACAGAGTCATGTGAGAGGATCACAAAGTCAATAACAGGGACTTTTAGATTTGCACGTCGACATAGTGGACTGCTACGCGTGACGTCCTTTTAAGGCACTGGCATTGCCTTAAAATGACGTCACAGTGCCCTAAAAGGACGTCACACGTAGCAGTCCACTATGTCGATGTGCAAATCTAAAAGTCCCTAATACCAAGGTAGATACACAAGGACAGTGCGTCAGAAAGTACTGTACCAAAATCTTCTTTTTTTTAAATCCCATTGCGTATGAGCCTCAACATCCATATAACCACCTATTCACCACGGTACTCCAAACGTATGATGCAGTACAGCGAAAATGAATTGTCTATTGCTCCACAAACATTGCCACTCAAGCACACATGCATGGTGACAAAGGTAGCTTATAGACAAAGGCGCAACCTTTTGACGTAGGGGAACGGAGGACTATTTTAGCACTTGATGCTTAATTTGCCTGACGAAGGACTTTGTGAGTAATTGACGCGGCTTTTTATGCCTCATAATTATGTGAAACTGTGTGAAAATTGAATTACTGACATGAGCACTAAAACCGCCATCAAAATCAATGACGGATTACGTAATCCGAACAAGAGTCTATCAGATATACAAAATGGTAATTGAATTGCCTTTGGGTTCATTTTCAAAGGTCTTTGCGATCGAGTTACGTGTACAGTCCTTTTTTATTATAGCACCTGATCCCCAATTTCTTATCATCTTTGTTCTTCTTTTCTTTTTTTTGGAATAATTAAGTTTTCTCTCCAGATCTAACAAAACAGAAAGTGCATATTGTTTATATGTGAACAATTACTACAGTAGACTTGATTTCAATATTTTCTTTACAAACACTATCTTCCGAATCATGTAATTATGAAAATGTACAATGTTTGAAAATTAATTATAGTTTTTTTTATGTGTAAACTGATTTTTGGAGTTTTGAATGTAATGGGGAATCTCTTTCTGCATTTTGTTTATGAGGGGAAAGAATAAAAAGTTATAAACGACGAACCAAACATTTATACCTCCGCCTACAAAAGGTTTGACGCCGGCAACGCTCACTGTCTTGTCGTCTGTTACGGACTTGATCTTAAAGTCGATGTACAAATCCATGGTAAATCACGAATAATTTATAAAGCATGGAGCATCAATGTCACGTTAATAGGGATCAATATGTTACTTTTAAAAGATGACATGTATGCATAGGTAAAAACCAAATAAATCAAATCAAAATCGAATTGTATATATACACGTTTAAACATACTTGGAGGTGGTGATGTGCTCACGGGTGTTTTCATTTCTGTAGTTGGTGATCTGGTCACGGGTGTTTTCAATTCTGTAGTTGGTGATCTGGTCACGGGTGTTTTCATTTCTGTAGCTGGTGCTGTGGTTACGAGTGTTTTCATTTCTGTAGCAGGTGTTCTGGTCACGGGTGTTTTCATTTCTGCAGTTGGTGATCTGGTCACGGGGGTTGTCATTTCTGTAGCTGGTGCTGTGGTCACGGGTGTTTTCATTTCTGTAGCTGGTGATCCGGTCACGGGTGTTTTCATTTCTGTAGCTGGTGCTATGGTCACGGGTGTTTTCATTTCAGTTGTTGTTAGAATAGCTGTCGAATCGGCCGTTGTTGGTATTGTGCCGTTGTTGTCGATGTTATGTTGTCCATTCATGTGCGAAGGGTGTCATAATTGTAAAGTAAAAACAACTACAGTTAGAAATTCCTTACGTAAATTGAGGTAAAAATCACACAAACGCACACGCTCGCAAGCAAGCACATCTAAGTACATGTGTGCGCGCGTGTTTGTGTGTGTGTTATGTGTGCGTGTGTGTGTGTGTGTGTGTGCATGTAAATATAGAAACACGATCCCAACTATTCTTGGAAAAATCAACTCAAGGGCACTTTCAATACCCTATAACTCATCCCACAGAAATCATGTTCAGATTACGTAATACCTCATTGTATATAATGATCGAATATTTCAGTAGGCGACGCATAGTAAAGGCCAGCTTGAGTTTCTTAATTTTTGTTTGAGTGGTTTATGATATATACGTACATATAATTTATATTTATCTCCACCCTTCACGGATTTTTGATAGGTGAGGGACTCTACTGTGAGTATGCAGCCGCAGGCAACGTGGTCAGACATTCTAAAAAAAAAGATACCCAATATTGGGTAAAATTTGACACTTTACGAGGGTAAAGGGAACATGCATGTTTATTGGGTAAAATTTGACACAGGGGTGGTTGGGTAAAAAAAAAATCCCAGCAAATGTTGAATATTTGACCCAATTGATGTGCAATATATTTGAGCCAATGTAAAAGGTAAAATTTTACCCAACGACAACCATGTTCCCTTTTTGAAACAACATCGGGTAGTTCTTACCCAACTCATCCTGGGCACTCGTTTACTTTGTTGTTGTGTATTTTTTTACTGGAAAGGTACATGTTATATATTTGACAGGTAGATGCCTGGATTACATTTGGCTTGCGATTAGTCTACGGAGCCCGTATCCTGCCCGTATCCCCTTTCCATGCAGCCTCCGTGCGGAGCCAAGAGGCGGCCGTGAGATATTCGTACGGATTCGGGGGCTTCAGTGCCTCCACTATTTTGTTTCGCGAGAAGTTATACAAATTTGAAAAATCGTATGCCCGTAGCCCGTAGACATGTCATAGGTGGCATTGCACAATCCCCAAACGGGCATTGCGCGGAGGCCTCGCGCTGATCATGCAGCAAACGCACGATATTCCGGTGAACATTGGGGCATAAAAATTATTTTAAAAAACGGCACGGCCGCTGCACTGTAACCGCGCCTTCTCCGCGCAACATATGCACGGAAGCTTCATGTGCCCCCCCCCCCCTCACCCTTGAGCACCCAAAAATGTAAAAATAACGTGTTTTTACATTATTTTTTTTCTCAAGGGGGGGGGGGGCGGGCCCCCAGGCCCCCCCCCCCCCCCCTGGATCTGCCACTGGTCTCTCAGGCTCCACCTGAATTCACATTCGAACAATGAAAATATGTTTTTAGAAGAAGATATGATAGCAATGAAATATTTTATTAACAATAGTGTTGCAGTCGCGATGACGAAAGCCACATTCATATTGTTTTAACTCCCCCCCCCCCCCCCTCCCGATCCGGTTTGCTCTACTCCATCTTTTGATATTATAATGGTGTTGGGACCGTATTAATTATAATTAAATATTAGAATATATCTTCTTCATGAGACGAAGAGCGTTAATTGTAACTCCAAGTACATACCAGGTTATGTTTTGCATTTTAATGCTTAATGGACAGAGAAGTAGAAAGATAAGATGCAAGAGAGAAACAGGGGGAATAATGTCAGAGAGATGGGGAGAGGAGAGGGTCTTACCTTTGAATGTCACGGGGAATCTTATAAAGGGGCAGCAATGACCGACGTAGAAGAGAGAACATAGGAGAATGAAATGGAAATAGTACGGAAAATAGAGCTAAGAAACAAGACATACAGAGGGGAGAACACAGCAGAGAGAGAGAGAGGGGGGAGTTAGAGAGAAGCGGTGAAGAGGAGACTTATGTCACGTGGAGTAGTAAAGGGGCAGCGGAAATGGACGTAAAAGAGAAAGTTTGATATAAAGTGGAGAGAGTATGGGTAAGAGAGGACGACAGGAAGAAAGAGGGGAGAGAATTAAAGGAAGAAAGGTTGGGTAGAGACAGGGTTAGTGGGATGAGGAGACTGGCCATTGAATGTATACGTAATATAGAAATTAGGAAAAAGAAATGAAGGGAAACGAGAGGTGACGAGAGGAGAGGAGAGAATGGAAGAGAGAGGTGGTAGCGGGAGGAAGAGTCTTACCACTGGTTGTATTTTCTAGTACCAAAGGGGAAATTGGTTGACTGAATTCCATTGGTGTAGAAAGTACAGCTCCTCCCATCTGCAAATGAATCAATATGTCACCAGAAAATTGAAAATAATTTCATTTCAATAAATAACACATCAAGTGATAAGTAAGAAGCAATAATACAATAAATACATTCATTTCTAATAAATTTCAATAAATAAATTCATTTGACCTACCATGTGTTTTCTTCCAAAATCTTAATTTAACTACAGCAATATATATATATATATATATATATATATATATATATATGAATATATTTATATATATACGTTTGTGTGCATAATTTATTAGCGTTGTAACGAAAAGGCACGAGGCGCAAACCCAATAAAGCGTGTTGCTGGTCCAAACGAGTATTGATATACTATTTGATAGTATATCCCGCATACTAATAATCTTGCAATCTGATTGGTTTAAACGAGGTCACATGATCAATGAAAGATAAGTACTATCTCCCTGCGATTGGACTTTTGTACTGTAATTTTTGGCTGCTGCCCCACTTGCCCATTGAATAGGCATATAGCGCATAGCAAAGTAGGTTACGCGAAATGTCAATGTCCGTCAAATGAGCGCGCATCGACCGTTATTACATGTATGCATGTTGTGCTTTGTAAAATCTAGCTGAAGCTAAACTTTCTGCAGAATTAGTTCTTTTAATTATGTAAAATTCACTTTAAATAGACCTTATTGCCGATGTGGGATATAAAACAAATACTAACCTCCTTTACTCGGGCAATGGATACAATCACTATCATCGTCTCGGTGATTATAGTTTGTACCATTACCCTCGTAGTCGATTAATATTTGCTTACCAGACTACAGAGAATGCCTACTGCCATTCTCAGTCTGGATGTCATAAAAGCATTTGACGTATTAACCTCTTTTCATTTTGGTTCTTATTTTACAAATTATAGCTAGGTGTTCAATAATACAGTCTTTAAATAGAAAGCTCTGTCATTAACCAAGGATTATCTACAGAGTACTTTCCTGTTAAGAGAATTTGTAACGAGGCACTAAAGGATTTGTGCATTAAATGTGATTAGATTACAAAAATTGGTCTATTGATCTATAGCATCTGAGTAACACAGATGATCTGGGCAAGCGCAGTTTTGGACACGCTCTATTGAATGCAGTATGTTGCTTCTGGATGTCGCCCGCCCAACCTCGCGCAGCATATTCAGGGGCGATGGAGCGTCGTCCAAAGTGTGAGGGGAGCACCAACAAAAATGGGCACTTTCTGAAAAAAGAGGACACGTACAAAGGGAAATCTTAAAGCGAAACATATACAATTTTTAGATATTATTATATACCCATACATTTACATGATTGTCATTACAATATCAGAGATGATACCAACATCTATTTCTCTCTTTACATGGTCCTAGATACTGCCTAAATCTCATAATTTGCAGTTGGGGGTGATGGTCTCAACATATTGATTCAAAATTCTAAGATTTGTGATTTCACAGTGTGAAAATTGACATCTTATAAAGAAGAAAAAAACAAATCCTGATAACATAATTAAATTAACTATGATTGCGAGCGGGCGAAGTAAGGCGAGCTTTGGGGAGAAGAAACAAATAAAGGCTCTAGGTCGCTTTGAATTAGGAGAACGGAACAGGGTGCTCCCATCAAATGGGAAAGAGACACTTATCAGAAGGAAAGGGGGCACTAATACGAAAGCAAAAGGGGCACGTGTCAAAGCACAAAGGCCGTACACAGGGGGTCATCAGACATATAGCTAGTGTTGTTTATCGAATATCCAAGAGATAGAGGATGAAATATTTTTAAAGGAATTCCTGATGTTTTATTCCCAAAGGATTAAAGAATTAAGGAACTTCTTGTCAACGAAAGTGTGTTTTGTTTTGCTAATGACCATTGCTGTTTATTCGACGGACTTCTGATGGCTTCCTGTAAAAAAAATTGGAAATGTGAATATCAAAAATACACTCTAAAGAAACACAACCTCGAGATTTATAGAGAGGTTGGTTAATGCTCATCAATGTACTCTTATTACTTGCATTATGTTCTGGTATTTATTCTACTACATATTTAGGCAAAAAGTGTAAATCGAAATTTTGTAGAACCGTCAAAGTAGTGGCTTGTTAATCCTTTCCACTGAATCCACGATCTTTCGCAAATAATATTAATTTGTTTAACTAATAGCTACCCCCCCCCCTTCCCGCCCCGTAAGAAAGAAACCATGAAGCACCTTTAAAGGGGAAATTTCTTACTGAACTGCAAACCTGCCAAAATGAAATCATTATTTCTCAGCATTGGTATGAAAAAGAAACGAGACCAGAAGAAATAAACGCCATGGCGACCAGAAGTACAATCAATCGTGCACGACATACACATATCATCATTATCCATGCAATGAGCCATGGCATGAACACCGCTTTTAGTATAATTGTTGAAACCCAAATTTAATTCTACTATCAATAGGATTAAAGTAGGAGGTCATTTAAATTGATAAATGCAGTGTTGAGAAAAAACAAGTAGATAATAATGTAGGAATAAAGATGTGTATCAATTATTCAAAAACAATTTCCTCCATTCGAGGCCAATATTGAATGCCAAAATGCAACCCCCAACACAGAACGGGGAATAAAAAGGAATCGGCCCCCATAGTTTATATCACCTTTTTTTTTAAACAGAGACAAAGTACAATCCAGCTGAAAGCTGATACTTATATAAAAATGTAAATGGTTTATTATTGAATAGACATGCAATTAAATGAGAAAAAAGAGAATAAAAGCCTCCAATAATAGAGAGACCCACGGGAAGAAGAAGAAAAGACCATGATATAAATTAGTTTCACAAATATCCGTTCAACTTCTTTTGATTTATTTTCTTGGGGTATTCGTGTTTTATAACTTCAAAACATCTCCACCCTGTACGTGTGAACACCTACCTATAGATTAGCCCGAGAAGAGAGGAGGGTAATAATACATATAGCTAGTGTTCTATATCGAATATCCAAGATATAGAGCATGAAATATTTTTTAAATGATTTCATGACGTTTTATTTCCGAAGCTCCATGAAGCTGATGGTACATCAGTAGCGTTACCTACTTAAAAGCATTTAATGCTTTCTTAGCAATCAGGTAAAAAAAATAATATATCCACCTCTAGATATGCTGTGGATTAATAAGCAAGGAGATTTTACAATCACATTTAAGCAGCAGTAATAAAAATATCTATATATTAGTGGCTATTGATTATATTGTATAAAATTGATTAGTCGAAAGTTAAAATTATGTCTTCATAATGCTATGCTATTGGATTACGGAATTAAGGAACTTCTTGTGAACGAAAGTTTGTTTTGTTTGCTTATGGTCCATGGCTGTTTATTCGATGAACTTCTGAAGGCTTCCTGTAAAGACCTTTGCAAATGTAAATCACAAAAATTCGCGCTAAAGGAATACAACCTCGAGATATATAGAGAGTTTGGTTAATGCTTGGTTAGGCAAACAGTGTAAATCGAAATATTGCAGAACCGTCAGAGTATCGGCTTTTTAATCCTTTCCACTGAATCCACGATATTTCACAAATAATATTCATTTGTTTAACTAATAGCTACCCCCCCCCCCCCCCTAAGGAAGAAAACATGAATTACCTTTAAAAAGGACATTTTTTACTGAACTGCAAACCTGCCAAAATGAAATCATTATTTCTCAGCATCGGTAACAAAAGAAACGAGACAAGAAAGGATGAACGCCATGGCGACCAGAAGTACAATGAATCGCGCACGACATACACATATCATCACTATCCAGGCAATGAGCCATGGTACAACACCGCTTTTACTATAATTGCTGAAAACCGAATTTAATTATACTATCAATAGAATAAGTAGGTGGGTGGTCATTAAACTGATTAATGCAGTGTTGAGAAGGAACAAATATATATTAATATAGGAAAAGCGGTGTGTATCAATTATTAAAAAACAATTTCCGCCATTCGAGGCCAATATTTATTGCGAAAATACAACCTCCAAAACAGAGGGGGGGGGGTAATAAAAAAGAAATGGCCCTCATAGTTTATATCACTTTAAAACAAAAATGACGAACTTCTATTCATCTGAAAGCTACTAGTTATATCAAAATGTAATTGTTTCATTAATGAATAGTGATGCAATTGAAATGAGAAAACAAGAAAAAGAAAAGAAAAGCCCCCAATAATAGTCACAAATATCAGATTCAACTTTTTTTCATTTTTTGATTTGACTATACGTGTTTAACTTGGTCGAACCACCACCACCCTGTAGGTGTGCCCGCCTACCTCTAAATGAGCCTGAGGAGAGGGAAGGGTTATAAGCCATACAGCTAGTGTTGTATAGTGAATATCATATATATAAAGGGTGAAATAAAGCTTCCTATTAGTTTTACAGAATATCAATTAAACTTCTTGTCATTGTTTTTCTTTGGAGAATACATTTTTTACGTGGTTAAAACAACACCTCCCTGTATGTGTGCCTACCTATGTGCCCGAGGAGAGGGGAGGGTTATAAGCCATACAGCTAGTGTTGTTCATTGTATATCTTAGATATAAGCAGTGGCGTATATCTGTTGTTAGCCAAGGACGTGATTTGCTGACGTGGTAGCGGGGGAGTCGTAGGGGGCATGTTTCCTCCTTTGAATCTGAAAATATTTCGATTTTTAAAACTGGATTCGTGTAATTTGGTTAATACTTCCAGGGAAAATTAGATAAACTCCCAATCGATAAATACCATTCACAATTCTCTTCAAGCGGTATGTTTAATTTTGTAATCACCTTGTATATTAGGCCCTGTATTTACGTTCAAACGTTTTGGCGAATGTGAACGGGATTAGCAGGCGTTGAATAAAACATAATTATGGGCTTCATATACTGAACCACACCAGTGACACCAGTAAACGGAAGTGCTATTACAGTGATTACTAAAACATTGTTTTCAAAACAATCATGTTTACTTCAACATTTCTAAACAATTGTTTACTACAACATGTATTGGTATGTTGTTTTGCTTTAGATAGATTTGTAAAGCCCGAAAATCCCTATAAATAAACTACTAAGGAAAGGTTATCAGGGACCAAGGTATAATGCAATAATTCCATTTTACTTATGTTGTAGTAGTATGGATATCCCGCCTCTTCTTTCAAGCACACCCTTTCCGCTGCTATCGCGAGTTAAAAAAGGTCCTAATGTACGCATAACCAAGT